TGTGTGTGTGTGTGTGTGTGTGTGTGTGTGTGTGTGTGTGTGTGTGTTCGTGCGCGTGTGTGAAAATGAGACCCAGAGAAAGAGAGAAAGATGAGCTGTTCTCTGAAACAACCCAGCTTTCAGAGAGCAAGTGGTTTCATGTGAAGTGGTTGATTCAGTGAACTTGAGATACTGAAATCCATTTTTTTTCCTTGTCTCTGTTGATCTGAAGCCTGTTTGTGTGTCTGTGTGTGTGTGTGTGTGTGTGTGTGTTTGTCTGCATATAATATATATGATCTTCAACCAACCATGGTAAAAGATCTGAGGATGTAGTTATGAAGGATGGGTGAACAAAAAAGTCAAAATAAGAAAAGAGAAGAAAAAGGGAGACGTTTTTTTTTATAATAAATGGTTTAAAATCTGGGCGACGTCCAGCTGCTTCTCACAGTGCAGAGAAGATAAATGATGCTTCAAACTATGTAGTCCAGAGCTTTTCCTGTTTTAGTTGATGCTCTCTGACAGATGTTCGTTTTTAAGAACGCACAAGTCCATCAGCTGCTCCACAATCAAACAAATGTTCACATCAAGAACATAATTCAGTGGAGAAATCCTGATTGAATATAAAATCCAAAATTCCACAATGCTCTTTTTTATACAACAAGCTCTAATAGATAAAGATTAACAGAGTCAGACACCATGACTCTGGATTTGCACAAACTTAACAAACTGGACAGATATTTTTACCTGCACTGTCCTGAGATGAGCCTCAGTTTGTCTGAAATTGTGATGTTTGATCTAAACCAGCAGCCTCAGATCCTTATAAAAAGCCAATTATTTAAGTGACGACAATCTGACTGGACCATGAATGTACTTATGTTTTCATTTGGACTTTTTAATGATCTGTCAGATGTGGAACAACCATGCTGGTTGGCTGACTACAACCTAATGTCAAAATCAGGTTAAATATTAAAAACGTTGATGACTATAACATTGTTAACTCCAAATGAGTTGGTCAGGGTTAGAGTTAGAGTAATAACCCAGTCTAGTTAAGAGCCAGAATTTGTTGATGTGAGTCATTTATAGTCTGACTGTGCTCATCTCTAAGGCCCCTCGTGGAGCTTCTCCATGGGAATCCACATGGCAAAGGCTGATGACTAAAATCAGATTTATCTGCTGTTAGGACAGACATTGTTGTGTACGAGGTCCAAGAGCTCCCCCATGTGGCTGTGTAGATCAGTGCAGGGATTTTGAACCGTTTTCTCTCTTTGCTCCTGTCCACATTTGGCTCAACTCACCCATTTCTGTTCAGCTAATTTCTCATCTGTGTGTCTTATGCTAGTTTTCTTTTACTTACAATCATTTACAATCATTGTCCTGATTGTGCACAGATGAAAACTTAAAAATACCAGCGAGTGTTATGTGTTCATTTGCTTTGGAATGGGAAATGAGAAGCAACAACTGGTCCCAGATGTTTACGTATTTAGCTGGCGCATTTACCAAAAGCGACTTAATAAAGTAAAGGGAATCTGTGTGACAGGCAGGGACACTCACCACTACACTAACCCCCACCCCAAAGATGGGAGTTTTACATCCCTGATAAAAGACTTAAAATGGACAGCATCTCCTTAATATTGGGTGTATAGTGGGTTTAAATCCCACTCCTGGGATTTGAACCCACCGCCTTCCATTGGAAACTTCTCCCTTGGGAACATCCTGACAAGATCGATCTTCGTGAGCCACCTCGTTGTCAGTATGGAAGCTTTGGAAGGAGGTCTGGATGAACACACACGCTTTTCTTTCCTTGTGTGTGTGTGTGTGTGTGTGCAGAGCCATCGGCGCCAACCCGCTGTACTGCGACTGCCGCCTGCTCTGGCTGTCGGAGTGGGTGAAGAGCGGCTATAAGGAGCCGGGGATCGCCCGCTGTGCCGGCCCCCGCGGCATGGAGGGCAAGCTGCTGCTCACCACGCCGGCCGACCAGTTCCAGTGTCTGGGTGAGCTGACGGGAAGCCTTTTTTGTCGCGTCTGAAAGCAAGTTCCTGTTTCCGGTCTGACACCAATCGCGCTTTCATTAATCGTTGCAAAGGGAATAAGATTTGCTCTGCCTGTTAACCAGCTCTGCTGTTTATGCCAATTGTTCAGAAGATAGTCTCTCCAAGTCCTTATTTTGTTCCCCTATATCAGTGTTTTTCAACCTTTTTTGACCCAAGGTAACTTTTTTTTATTGAAAAAATCACCAGGCACACCACCAACCAAAAATGTCAAACAAATCTGTAGCCGCCTATAGTGACACTATAGTTATTCTTATCTTATCTTAAGTGTCTTGAATAGGCATCAAATAAACACAAAAATGTATTTTTATTATATTTTATATTTCTTCTTTCAAATTGCTCTTAACATGTCCACTTCAATATACAAAATTATATATAAAATCTAGTCATAAGGAATTATTACATGATTACGCCACCAGTCACTAGAACAGCACAGACATTCAAAAATGGCATATTATTTGCAGATAATTAATTCCTTATCAAAAAATCTTTTTAGACCAATTAGGTCAAATAGGATGATTTTCTACGGCACACCTGACCATCACTCGCGGCACACTAGTGTGCCGAGGCACAGTGGTTGAAAAACACTGCCCTATATGATGTGTTTTGGAGGAATTTCACACGCTTGTTGCATCCTCATAGACTTTATATTAATCCCTGTGGTAGTCGTCACTAATTGGTGGCTGTAATAACACATACTGGCAGCTGGAGACATTCTAATGCTCCTTCTCTTCATCTGAGAAGCAAAGGGAAGTAAACGCTGTGCCGATGACCTTTTAAATTGTTGTTATTTTTGCAATGTGTTTTAGACCCACAGGCCTTTCATTTAACAGCACAATCCCTGAAATAATCTATACTGACCAATCCATTTCTGGAACAGTGAAGATATCGGGTTAAGGGGGGGCATGGCGGTGTGGGGGTCAGCACCGACACCTCGCTGGTTCCTGGTTCGGGTTCCTGGGTCTTGAGTCCCCGGGAACCGAGACCTTCCTGTGTGGAGTTTGCTTGATCTCTCTGGGAAGCTTCCTCCCACCATAAAAAAGCATGCACACTAGCTCAAGTGCACACTTGTGAGCGTGTGTTGGTTGTGTGTCTCTGTGTGACCCTGTGTGCTCCAACCAAGAAAATGGATGGATATTTGGTTGCTGAAAAATCTTCACTGAAAAAGAAGCAATTTATTTTATAACTGCCAAATGAACAGGAGGGTTTTCGTCTGGGCTCGGTGACAGTTTACCGACAATTATTATGACTCAATCTTTTATGATACACTCATTTTTCGCACAGGTCGGCGCCGGTACGACCCACATGCATCTGAAAATTCTATCAACATTTTGCATTCCATTCATTTTTCCCCTTTAATTTGGCTCAGGGATGTTTCAAAACCCGTCACCAAATGACATTGGAAGTCGTTTTCTTTTCAAGCGCATTGTGAAACATGAAGGATTAATCTCACTACACAAAACCTTTCACGTGTCTCTCTAAAAGCCTCTTTGGCCTTCGGTCACAGAGCAGAAAGGACAGGAGAGTGGAGAGAGTTGAGCTGAGGGAAGGTGTAGCAAAGGGGACAAGGCTAAGTTTTCAATGGCAGCGCGTCCAATTCAAGATATTTAAAAAAGCAGAATAGCTGGATGATTTGCTTTTTAACCACACAGTCAAAGGAAAACAGAGTGCAGATGAATGTCGTGACACTGATCACAGCCAGGCGATGGATTGTGAGCTGTAAATAGCCTGCGAGTTTTCATATTTGTTAAACCGTGCCTCAAAGTTTGCGGCTTAGCTGTGTGACCAGGTTTGACAAAGTGGGCCTTCTTTAAAGTGGCCTTTCTTTAAAAAAAAAGGGTTAAACTCACCTGCTTATTGGCCATCTTCATGCATTATGATGTCTCTTCAGCTTTGGATACTGTGAATTTCCAATTCTGAGTTTATTTCTCAGTCAGTGTTATTAAAACTGAGAACATTGAGATGCAAAAATGCACGCTTGATTATACTGAGGCTGCTGTTTTTTTTTAAATAACAGTAAAAGAAGAGGAAAATACACAGAAAGAAGAGACACTCTTACTATAATTTTCTTCTGTCTATCCAGCCCCTCATCAGATGTGTGTGTTTGTGTCACATCACAGGATCAGAATCATCTCTGAGTCCACAGTGCCAACGACACAATCTCTTTTCCGTCGTCCCATTTTGTACAGATCTTCCTCACCCCAGTACCGTGAAGTTCTATCAATAATTCATTTGTTTTAAATGATTTTGCGGAGTATCAATATGATACTGTCACGGCACCTCCCTGCGCCTTCCTATCCTCAAAGGGAGCGTTTGTATTTTGCCGTTTCATGTTTTATGCAGATTGTGCGTAAAAATTGCATCCCTGTCAAACTCTTTGTTCGGAAACTGACAGGTTACTTACCTCTGAAGCGGGTCTGTGAAGAAACTCTGCTTCCTGTCAGGTTCAGGGGCCCCTCAGACGGGGGCTGCCTGATGTAGAAAGGAAAATCTAAAAGCTTATTTTTCCAGCAGGGTAAATATATATGTGCAAGAAAATGGGGGAGATGAAAGAAGAAATGGATGTGACTTTCTGAACATGTTTTAGGACATGTGTATGACCATTTTTTATCCATTTATCTAATAATTTAATAATTCTTTTGACTATAAGAGCCGATGTGACACATGGATTTCTA